CATTGCTTCGCGTCTTTGATCTGATGGAATTTACTTCCTTCGGTTTCTTATCCATCCTTCTAATAAAGACATGGAACATAACTGGCAGCCTAGCCTGCAAAGTTTTTCTACACTGACGGGGTCGTCTTCAGTAAATACCTAATTTTTGACGCGTTTGCCTACGATTGAAAACACTCATGAAAGCTGGGACTTAGGAGGTGGACTATTTGACTTGAAAGAAGGAGGTTGGGGGGGGGGNGGGAGAGCTGTTTTTGAAAAAAGTATCCTGCAAGCATACTTTTATCAAAACATTCTGCCATTCAAGCACGTTCAGTGGGCCGGAAAAAAAGCATGTTATATGGAAGAAAGAGTATCATTCATACACAATCGTGCCTGTACCAAGTTACCCACACTCCACCCCGCTCAAAATTCGAATGGTCCACTCCTAAGCAAACTTGGAAGACGCACTGTACCGTTTGACAATGTATTAACGTGGATCCTTTAGTGCAGGTCAAGGATGTGTTTGAACTAATAACTTTCTATTTACTTTTCAGTTCATCATGGCATGCGTAACTTTGTGATGTAACCGAAATGAGAAAGAAAAAGTCCCGGAAAACGTCCGCAACAAATCTCAAAGCGTGGATTTGAAGAAAATAACCGTCAAACTTGTAGCTTAGTTAGGTAACATTTCATAACTTGGTACCATTCATATATCATCTTTTTTCCTTCGGGGGCCTCGACCCTTCTCAGAGTTGTCACGCAACGTGTCCTTTCCGAGAGTCACGTGTAGGTAAACCAATTTCTTGGTTGTGTCAATTATTCAATCTAATTAAAATTTCAACTCGATCAGTGTGAGCCAAGTTCAATTTTATAAATTAACAGTAAAACCTGAATAACTTAACTGGAAATCAGTTTAAAGGAGTTCGCTGGTGAAGGGTATCCTTAGATAAACTATTAAGACAATTAAAATGTGTGGACCTAGCGACTATCCCTTTTTTATTACTATTACAACTTATTTGTATTTGTAAGCGACGTATAATCTTAAAAAAAAAACAAGGGAAATAAAGGTGTTAAACCACACGTTTTGGAGTGTATTGTTGCTAGAACTGTACAAGTAAAAAGAAAAGGTCTTAGTAAGACCACTACATCGTTCTCATCAGAACTTGAATTCTTTGTATTTCTTGGCGGACTTCCCACTGTCTGTGGCTTTCTTCCGTTTCTGCAAAGGATGCAACAGTTTCGTTATTTTCTTAAGCCATCTAAAACTAACTACTGTCTCCTCGCAAAATTGCCCAAATAACTGTTCCAAGAATAGCTAAAATAGACTTTAAAAGAACGTCATCAAACCTAAGAGCAACTGACACTTAAAAAAAGCCTCGTTTAAATTTTCCAGTTCTCTGTAGCCTGAATAGCGATCCTCCCCGCATTTAAGACGCACAAACTTTGAGACGAGAGCAAAATATTGGGGGAGGTAGAGGGGCTAGCTGTCCTAACTCTACTGCCATTTCTTGCTCTACTCTCAATTTTCACGCGGTCAAATCGCAGGAAAGTCTTATTCGTCCGGGAACGGTAGCAACGGAGGCTAAATGTTTTGCAACGGATGACTTTGACTTCAACCAGGCCGCCTGGTTATGCATATTCTCCCTCGTAATAAGAGCCCGCTCCCAGTTTATCTTGTGTTTATCTTCAGTTTATCTCATTGGTGTCATATCTTAAAATAATTTGATCCTGGAATTGGAATTGGAATTTGGAGGCCCCACTGACTCTTGTGAAAACCTACTATCGCATTATTGCTTGTTATTTCCGGTGTTTTTCGTTGCCGATAGAAATGGAATTGTGACGCTCACCTTTTGTTTGGCAGCGTGCTCTGCCACCATGTCACTAAGGTCCTCTTTTTGTAGTTGGCTTTCTCGTTCCTTCAGCTGTTCCTCGTATCTGAAATGCACCAAGACGGCAAATTCAACGATGGCGTCAAAACCCGGGGGCACTGCCTATAATGGCCTATACGGGAAGGCGCCGCTCGAAAGGCGTACCTTTTACTTACCTCAGTAATATAAAAGGGTAGGGATTTCACAAGTTGACGTGTGTGAAAGGGCAGAGAAATCTGTCTTTTGTGTCCAGCGTGAACATGAACCGAATATAAAATACTTGTTCTTCTGGTTTTGCTTGATGTTCTCTGGTAATATTGTTCATTAACTTCATTCCAAGGGTTAAACAAATGGACGCAGTGTTCTTGAAAAGGTATGTGAAAGGGGTACCACTTCTGTCAAAATGGTAAACAAAAGGGTAAGGGGCAGGGCCTTGGCGAGGAGCCCCCCCCCGTATAAAACCTTGCAGAGTATCACCCCGCCAGGGGCGGGGAGGGGGGGAGGGGGGCGTCAAAACTTTGTGTACTGAACAAAATCCCATTAATGATTTTATTGATCCGTGCGACGTCCGGGACCGGTTTTCACTTGGCGCGGGAAGATCTGATTGATGGATCAATTCCATCACAGGTTTCTTTTGTGTGATTACCAGTACGAGAGGTGCACACATAACTAGAAACTAACCTGGCCTGCATAGCAGCAGGGTCCAACTCCAGTTCACTTGGGTCCAGTGCTACCTCGACACCTTCTGTCAATGGCGCTCCCGCCTGGTAACGAAAGTGGGAAAAGTCAGTTGGAAGCAAACTTGAAGACCTAATCTTTCTTGAGTACTATACGTTAAACTGCAGGGCCTGGATGTTCAAAACTCCATTTAACTAATCCAGTATTTGCGTGAATTGGATAACAGTGTTACAAATTAGAAATACAACTTAGTGAGGTTTGTTTTTTTTTTTATATATTTTCTGTTCTTCCGATTTGGAGTTTGTCTAATCTCAAACTATGCAAAATGTTTGCAATAAAAAATATTTTTGTACGAGGGAAATATGAACACCGAACCACATTCAATCCTGGATTAGTGTTAATCGGCTTTAAAACAAACCGGCCTGTCCTAGGACTACGCAAAATTATAGCGTTATTTCTATCGCAGTTTCTTTTTTACAGTCATGCCGTTAAGTGACGCAAGATCGACAAGGCAAGAGACAGAACGCAATGTCTACAAAGGAAACTTCGGTCCGTCTCTTTCGGTATGGTCTATACCTCGTTCAGCTGGTTCTCCTATTAAAATTTCAACATTTGGGACGTCAATTGTGTAAACTGAGAGATAAAGCGAGACTAATATAAACTTGACCACTGTCTCCTTGAACTTTATTAATAACACCAGCATGATTTAAAGAACTCATCAACTAAACTTACCTTTCTGGGAACTCCAGCAGCTGCCTACAAAACAAAACAAAACAAAACCAAAAACACATTTAAAATGACCTGATCAAAAAAGGTGCGGACCAAACCCGTCGAAAAGGGAAATTGACATGTACAGCCACCCATCTTATAAGGCTGTCAGTGTACAATAGATGTACTGATGAAAATTAAACCTCGTTTCGCGAAGGTATATTAAAAGCTGACAAACCTGTGGTAAAGGGGTGGGGGTGGGGCGAGAAAAAGAGCCCCCCTCTTTTTCTCTGTAGAAAAAGAGGGGACTGGTAGTTGTTACAAAGAAAGTTGAACACACTACTTCCTTGATTGCTTCCACCGCAGGAACATTCACCGCCCTTCTTGCCGAGACTAAAAACGTGTCATGTTATTTTACAACAACGGTTCGTGCTGCACGCGCAGAGAGAACATCCCCTACTTATCACAACTTACCGACGTTATGTCGTACACATGCGCAGATCCCATCATAGCAGCACCGACGTTCACTCTCTTCTCCGGCAACACCGTGTACAAGGTCTGCTGTTCGGCACCAGTCTCCATAGCTTCCTCGATATTTTTCCTCTTTCGCAGCTCGATCATGTCCGGTGTCTCCATGCCAGCTGGTATTGACGTCAGTCCGCTAGGCGTAATCAGACCGCTGTACAAGACGCGAGGAAAAAAATTAAACTAACAAAAAAAACAACGAACTAACGCAAAATTCTGAAACTGGCCTTTGGGTTTATTCCCGTCCAAACGTTTGCGGACACTCTGATCCAAACAGTACGGTATCAAGTTCTAAACTTAACGCCAGGGTCGAATATATAAGCTCGCCTTCTCGACCCAGCGTTTCTTGTTTAAATTAAACAACTTTATTTAACTGTCAAATGTATTCAGTACTGTTGCGCCGGCTAATTGGGGACACTGTAAATAAATAACCGAATATTGCAACTGGAACATAAACTATCACTTATTGCAGTATGGAGAACTTACGTGTCAGCTGGAGTGATGAGGCCAGTTTGATCTTCCTCCTCTTCAGATTCCTCCTAAAAAATTGAGATAACACAATCAATCAAAGACGTGCTCCCGAATAGACAAATTTCGACATATAAAAATTCAGCCTAAAACAATAGACCTCAGTGCGAGGCTCTGTGGAATAACTACAGAGTTTGCGGGGTTTTATCTCCCAGAGCCTCGTACTGAGGTCTATTGTTTTAGGCTGATTTTTAATAGATCGAAATTGGTCTAAATTGCAGACACCGAAAAGGGATGTTAAATGTCAGAAAGTTTCCCGTTTCAAGAATCCACCTTTCGAGGAGCATAGCAAGCTTGACAAAGCAGCAATCATGAATCAGACTCCATCGCAAGATCGCACGCTTCTCTGACAGAAGCAGAAAGCAAACACCTTGCGTGACAACAGAATAGCTACTGTGAAGGTCACAAGTGGGTTGATGGCTCATATTCTTTTTTTTTTTCCAACAACAAAAAGATGCGTCTGAAGAAAGGCAGCACTTTATTGCGCCAGGAATAAAAGTTTACTGTATTTACTATTTCTTTATTACTATAAATAACTACCTTGTACGTCTGTTTAGACAAGTCACGCACACTTATGTGACACAGTCGCACATACCTCTGACTCGGACTCCTCCTCAGACTCAGACTCCAGCTCACCCCAGGGCTGGCTCTCAATCTGTTCGTCTTCCTCCACCACAGGAGCCTCCTGCTGTTGAATGCCAAACACGTCACCGTACAGAGGCTTCCCCTGCTCATCCACTGGAGGCTTGCCCCAGCCCCCCGCATGATAACCAAATGAGGCGCCCTGGAAACAGCACATCAATAAAGCTGTTAATTTTCAAAAGAAATCAACATCTTACCGGCGAAATTCACAATTTTTACACTGACTAATAATGACTGCCACATAAACGCATTTAGTTTAACTCTTGTCGCCAATTTGTGCACGAATCCCCGCAACACAGATTTCTCTCTTAATCTTTGTGTGACACTGCGGCTTCATCTTGATCCACCTGTATCGTAAATGTATTACGCTGACGAACTAATCAATAGGCCCTTTGCAGCATAAAATTATGAGCTATAACTTAAAGAACGCCAGAAATAGGAAAAGCATGTCAAAAATATCAAATTGTCCAAGTTTGAGACCACTGGCATTAAAGAGTGAGATTTTGTGACGGTTGGAATTTTTTTTGAAAAAAATTAAAAATTACGAAGATTTGTATGGAAGAAGTTGTTGGAGAGCAAACCCTTGCTCTCAAGCAACATAGCAATATTGTCACGTGACCCCAGCTACAAAGGGCCTATTATTCATGTCAGATGGATTGTTCTAGAACGAAGATAAATATAGTCATGGGCCACTTCAAAGTCCCTAATCTAAACGATAGCCTAACTAGTTAGACGAATAATATTTAAGAAATGCCTAAGACTGGGCCTTTTCTTACCTCAGGTATTGGTGCATTTAGACCAGGGATCTTGAGGTTGGGGTAGGAGGGAGGAGGTCCATACCTCTGCATGGCTATTAACCATGGCGGTGGAACCAGATGATTGTTTGGACCTATCGGCATACCAAGGGCTGTTCTTAGGTCATCTGACAGATCGCCTGGTTTCTTTTCTTTCAGTCGTGTTTCAAACTCTTTTCCCTGATGGTCAAAATGTACGACAATCACGATTATCATTTTCGTCAGCCTCCCATAGAACAAAACCCCTTGCAGCCTGCGCAAGTGTCCACTAAGCAGAGGTGTGGGAGGTTCAAAATGTGCGTTTGTAACGTGCCAAGGAATATTAGCAAGTGTTCCCTGGTGACAAAACGTCAGAGTACCAGAACATGTGCAAAGGTAGGTTAGAGCCAATTGAAAGAATGCTCCGCTCGCACACGTTGAAAAGGCATTATATGGCGCTTTGCTTTAAGGTAAATTAACAAATTTTGTACATGGATCATGACTTAGTGCCTTTTCAAATTAAGAACCACAAAAGTAAGGGGTTTTTAAGGCGTTTAACTTTTCACTTGTAAGGAAAATATAAACGCAAATATAGTCAATAACGCTCTGTGTGGAATCTATGCCAGAGAATCAATTGATTAAATCTCCAACAGTGATAGACTAGAAGGTGAATGCTTTTATGTTTGGAAACACACACAACCTACCTCATAGTAAAGATCACCGTGAATTAACATTTTGGGTTTTGTTTGCCATCTGCAACGAAAATACCGATACAATCAGTAAATCGACAGACAAAGTGGGACAAACGTTCTCAGCACTAAATTCAAATTGGACAGCAAGAATGTTACAGTCTTCTATTAATTGAGCTTTCCCACTTGTATCCAGTAAAACTGTCAGGAACTGAATATGACAATCCAAAGATTAAGAAGGATTATGTANAAACTATTCTTTCCAATGGCTAATCTGGTTACCATGGACAGATCTTTTTATTCTTTCCATAGCCATAGGTAATAAATATTTCTCTTTTTTGATTCATTTTATAATACTGATGTAAACTCTGTAAATTGTGCATAATAATAAAGAAGTTGAAATTATGGTGAAGTTCTTGTTCCACCATACACTGCAATCTGCAATCTTCACTTAACTAAAACAATGAGTGCCTTAAAATCATAATAACCAACTAATATGTAAAGGCATTGTAAGATGCAGGGGTAATTGAACATTCTCTTGCCCTGCATGTAGAGATGCCATCACATTTGTCTCCCAGCCACACAAACACTGAACAGAGAAATGATACTTGTTCAGCTAAAAAGGTGTGTCTCTGGCAAGCTGCTTAATGCACGTGGAGGTTTGTAACCTTACCTGAAGATATTTCCTCTTGAAACACCAATGTCTGGGCACAGGAACTGAATTGCGGCATGACTGAAAAATACAGCGACAAAGAGATTAGTCAACTTTTATTTTATTTTTTTACTTTTACAGAAAGTCTGATGCCAAAGACGTTGTAATGGATGAGAGTTAGGCAAGTTTTGCTGCTGAATTCCAGCCTCTTATCATTACACAGCACATCTGTCACAGATTGTTACAAAGCTCATTATACTTGACCCATACAATTTGCAAATAATAAAAATAGTCTATATCTGTGGTTTAATAACAATTTGGTCCAAAAATTTATACAGTTTTAAATCAAGGTTTGCTCTTGTGTTAAGAATAAATTCACTATCTGAATTTTAGAACATTACATATATGTCCACTGATTCAACATAATTTCCAGCAAAAAACATACTCTTACTATGTCAACTATTGCAACAGGTCTCAACAACACCTCTTCTGTTAAGATACCCCACGAGCAGAGTCTCCTTTGATCTTCCTTGAAAAATTAGGAACTTCCTCTTCCCTATTTTTCCAGCAAGATCGAAGGAGACTCTGCTTGCAGGTTACTGTTAAGGGTAATGTGCTGACAATGTAATCTACAAGTTCAGTTAAATGATCTGCTCTTATAGGAATGAGTAATGTCAACTACATGTGCTCTTCCCACAAAGAAATGCATTCACTGGGCAACAGGATACACGCCCAGTGAATCAAGGTGTGGGACATTCAGTTTCAAGAAAGGCTAACCTACCAACGATTAAATTATGATGATGATCATAATGCCAAAATGCCATAAGGTAAATATATAGTGGCAGTTTGCCATTGTTTGATTGACATTCATGGTGTTTCATTGCAAAGAAAGGAGAAACCATGAATCTTTAATCAAGGTTCATACTCTTTTTGAGCTTTTGAAATTCCATGGCTTTCCATGACCTTTTCCATGATCTTTCTGAGTTTTTCATAACATATGTTAAGCAGTTGTTCTCAAATTTTTGTCAAAACAATCTATTATTTGAGGTACTTTCCCACATTGCGACGCATAAAATGCGTGGTTTTTTACTGGAATTAACTGGTTTTCTGACTTGTCTGTTGTTTTTTCAACTTTTGATTTTTCTTTTCCAGTTCATTCTCGGAAAGTTTATTGCTTTTCCATGACCTTCCACGACTTTCCATGACCCACACTTCAATTTCATGACTTTCCAGGCCTGGAAAACGAAATTATAAATTCCATGACATTCCAGGTTTTCCATGACCCGTACGAACCCTGTTACTGATGAATGAACAAACTCATTATTTCCCCTTCTATATACTGCACTGAAACACCACAAACTTCAATCAAAAAGTGGTGACCATTGCGGGGTGATCTTATAGGCTTAGAAATACAGAACAACTTTTCCCAAATCAGATGTTCATGTAGAATTTGTATTACTTGCATGAGTGATTTGCTACTGTGGCAGTCAGCTTGACATGGCTATCAATGGTGTGTTTATATAAAATGTTCTACCCCCAATTGAAGATGAGCCAGGTATTATTAGCCAGGCAAGAAAACCTACTAACAACCTTGGCCCTCTTTGTGTTCAGATGCACTGAAGGAAACAAAATTTTGGCACAACAGAAATTTACCTTTAGGAAGACAAGAAACTTTGGATCATGTGCAGTAACATCATGCATCTCTACCACATCAGGTCTTGGGACTAACTGTAGAGAAACAAATAACACCAACTTACATTACAGAGATGCAACAGTGTACATGAAACACAACATTGAGAAAGCTCGTTGGCAAAGTTTTAAATTTGTATGCTTGTCAAATTTTATTAGAATTCTTAAATTTTATTTCATGAAATGATGACCTTTGTTTAGCATATTACANAAACTCGCTGGCAAAGTTTTAATTTGTATGCTTGTCAAATTTTATTAGAGTTCTTAAATTTTATTTCATGAAATGATGACCTTTGTTTAGCATATTACACTTTTGAACAAAGCACCCACTGAGAGTGCTGTGTTGATTAACAGTAGTGATCAAACCAGACAAACCTGTTTTAGTTCAGCCACACTCAGTCTGTTCATCTTTCTCAGTTTCTTCTTGGAAAGCTTAGGTTGCTCATCTTCAGCTTTTTTCTAAAACAAAATTTAAAAAAAAAAAAAAAACACTTGTAGCTTTATTGTTCAAAACTTCAAAATTATAAAATTAACAACTAATATAAACTTTCCACTCTTACCACCATGTCTTCATCATCGTCATCATCATCATCATCATCATCATCATTTGTGAGATCTTTAACTTCGCTTTTCTTTGCCTCCACCTGCAAAACCACAAGGCAAATCCTTCAACAAAGTTTGTCATGATCTAGATATTACAAAATACTCATACAGGTACAGCTGTTCTACTTACAGTTTCTTCCTTTTTGTCTGTCTTTTTCTGTGCTGCTTCGTTTTCCACTGGATC